CCGGGCCGGGCCTCGCGGGCCTCGCTGCGCACGGGGACGTGGGGGACAAGGGCCCGTGTCCGGGGCGGGGGGGGGCACGACGGGCAGGACCCATGGGGGACACGGGTCACAGTGTCCCGATGGGGACACGGGGCGGGTGTCCTGCAGGTGACACAAGCCCACGAGGGACACAGGACTCCTGTCCCACGAGGGACACGGGGCTTGTGCAACGGATGACAGGGCAGTCGTGTCCCACAGGAGACGTGAGGCTCCCGTCCCGTAGGTCCCCGGGGCATCTGTGACACAGAAGACACAAAACCCTTGCACGGGGACATGGGGACAGTGAAGCATGAGAGGAAGAGTGAGGTGGGGACCGAGGGGTGAAGAGGAAGTGCCCCAAACATGAGCACCAGGGCAGGAAGGCGGCAAGATCCTGCAGGAGCTGCAGGGACAGGGACGGGCGACAGTTGCCACCGTCTTGGTCCATCTCTGGGTGCAGGAGGGAGCCACTGGGCTGTGTGATGCTGCCAGCACCCACGCGGCCCTCCGAGCCCTGCGGAAACTCCAGACCCTCCTGCAGCCTCCCTGGATGGCTGTGATGCCCTGGGGCCCTTTACCCAGCYCACCCCTCCAGCTTATTTTTCCTTTTAGCTCCCGTCCACTCTGTGGGCTGGTTTTAACTCAAATGAAGGCAAGAATATGTGTCCAACAAGCCAGAGATGGGACAAGCTCCTCTGATCTTGAAGGTCTGGCGTTTTCTACAGCAGGAATCTGGGATGTTTTAGTTGGATCCTAAAGAAAGAACAGCCAAAACGCTCACAGTCCTTTTAGGTCTCAAGCAATATGTGAGGAGAGAAAACCCAACTTTTTTTTTTTTTTTTTTTAACATAGGAGAAACACCAGAATATAAAAGAGTAACTGCTTTTGGTATCCTTTGGGCACTCGCTGCCAAGTGGGTACACGATGCTGTATGATGTGTGAGGAGGTCAATGGGAAGCCCTGCAAGAAGCAGAGTTTAGCAGCCCAGATTCCCAAGCAGTCCAGAAACTGCTCAGTTGACSTTATGATCCTACAGCGTGACAAGAACGAGTCACTGAGGTGGGAGAGGACATTTAAGATGCTCCAGATTGCTTCACAGTGGAGTCAACCTTGCACAGAATATCCTGGTTCTCAAGGCTGTGGTTCCTCCCCAGGCAAAATCCACCAGCCATCCAAGAAATGTTGAGTTTTGGATATTCTAAGGAAGAAAGTCCCAGCTCCACCTCTGGGGGAAGCAGCAGCACCATGTGGGACACCTGATCCATTTGGATCTTCAGTTGCCCTTCACCTTCCCAAAGTCCAGGTAGATCCGGCCACCAGATGATGCTGATGGAGGGAGATAAACTGCTACAACCGGAGGCTTCAYGTGAGGTTAGCTGAACATTTGGAATGCACCTAGTGTGGGAAGCAGGAGATGTCCCTTTGTGCCACACRATGATCACGTGTGCCTTAGTAAATGGAGGCTTTGGCCATTAAGCAGATATTTTAAGGAATTGAATTTCAGTTCAGTCTCAGAAGAAACCTCAAGATAGGCCACTTAGATGCTGAGGATACTCGTGTGGTTTAAAGGTTGGCTTCTAATTTCTGTGGCTGTGTCTAACACCCTCCATCAGCAGTGGAGCCGAGCCTGGATTTCAGCAGGTCTCCCCTCCTTCTGGGACCCTCCAATACAGCCACAGTGACCAGACAGAAGCAACTCTCCCCAGGGGCAAATGGCTGTAAATGTGGCTGAAAATAACCAGTTTTGCTGTTTTTAGGGGGAAGAAATGGTCTAAAACCATCACCATGGCGCAGCAGCTCTGCTCTAGGTCTTAGGTGTGTTGTGGCAGGAAGCCGCCCTGATGCCGCTGCAGGGAGCCCAGGTTTGTGCCGAGCACAGCCTCCTCTCCAAGGGGTTGAGGTCCTTCCGTGGCGGGAGGCGGCCGGTCCTGGGGACACATCCCATGGTGGCGCCGGGGAAGAGGCTTCTCCCGTCATGGTGTCCCCTCCACCCCAGGGGTGTTTTGGGGATGGTTTTGGTGCCCTGAGGACAATCCAGCTGTGGCCACGTTACCTTCCTGGCGAGGGGCTGGAATGTGCGGCAGTGCCCAGGGATCTGACAAAGGGATCCGGCCCATGTCCGTGGAGCGGGAAGCGCCGCCGGGAGCAGGCTACACCACCTGACATGGCCGCCAGGCYGTGACATGGCCGCCGGGCTGGGGCTGGAGCCTTCCATTGCCCAACTGCCGTGGACCCCGCTTGAGACGTTGCTGTCCACCCCCTAAAACCAGGGATAAGTTTGGGTGAAAGGACAAACAGACACAAAATCCAAAGCCCTTTCAGTACCCTTTTTTTTTTTCCCCCCCAAGTCCTTAAAAAAAAAAAAAGAGAAAATTATGTAAAGACTCCACGACCTGGTGCCACCTGCAAATCTGCATTAGGGGCTTGCTCCTCGCTGCAGCTGAGCCAGCCAGAGCAGCATCCCCRCTCTGCTGCTCCGTCCCTCTCCTTGAGGATCAATTCCAGCGCTAAACCACACGAGCTGGTTAGAAGCCTGCTTTTAAAAGTAGTTTATTTGGATTTTCCACATCCTTTAATGAATTGCAAATATATTAACAGAAAAGAGTTTTTTTTCCCCCAAGACTGTACAATTCTTGAAATAAAGTCAGAAAAAGCAAAAAAAAAAAAAGACAAATAACATTGTTTCAATGCAAATAGTACACACCACACCCACACTTTGCATTTTTCCATATTTTTGCTGTAATAAAATGACAGTTCCCTAATTCTTTTCAGTAAACATACTTGCTCTAACTTGTCTGCCCGAGTGCCTTCATGCTTGCCCTTCTTCTCCTTACCTCTCTTTAAGGAGAGCAGAATTTTATTAAGTACTGATTTAGGGTAGCTATTTAGAAGGTCAAACAGCAGCATGGTCTAAGTATTATTTGATTTTATTAGAGAAAAAAAGTCATCTTTAATAGATGATATACCAATAATGCAAGGGCTAATTTTTAAGCATTAAACCCTCAGAGTAACATGAGTGTTCTTCTAAAACCCCCTCCACTAAAGAGCTCCTTCCAGGCTGTCAGATGCGTCACGCTGGTTCCCAACTTTCCAAGAAGAAAATAAAAGGGAAAAATGCACCCAAGTTTCCTAGCTCTCTGGTCCCCACTTAACCAAGCAGTTTTGGTTTGGAAAACTTCCTTGTAGCACCTGCTTTTTGTAAAATAAGAACATTGCAGGCAAGGAGGGCGGCATGAGGGGTGCTCAGTTTGGCTCTACAGGTAAGGACAAAAGATCCCTGGCTTCAGCTGACTTTTCCAGCTCCCAAACAGACAAAAGAAACTCCTCTTTTTTTTTTTGCTTAAAAACATAAGAAAGCAGCTCTTACACGGTGGTGCTTTTTAGGAACTCAACCTTGAGACAGCCCTACTGGGAAGGTTGCAGGTGGATGCAGAGGCTGGACAGGGAAAACTACCCTTTGCTATGGGGTGCGCTTTGCTGCAGAAGGGAGGACTGTATAGGGAGGATGCGTCAGGAAAGGGGCAGCTCCAGCCTCTCCAACAGCCCAAGCCTTGCAAGATCCTGCCCAATCAGGGTAGCTGAATCACTCCATGATTTTCCAGACAATCCATCCACGTTTCAGACACAGGCAGCATGGCAGTATGTGGCAGAGGCACAAAGCTCCTTAATGTATATTATCATTCCTCAGATTTTAGAAATTTATTTTTCACACTATTATTAGAATTTTAAGCCTATTTTCCTCTTGCTTCAAAATAAACAAAAGAAAAAACCCTTGCTTTTGTGGATTATTTTTCAGGAGATGGAGGTATCCACAGGACTCACTGAGAGGTGTGACAGAAGACATGCCAAGGGTAAGAAAAGGACACAATTTAAAGAACAGCAACAAAAAATACTCCTAAAGGTAACCAGAGGACCCATAAAAAACAATATACATAAAAAAATTAAGACTGATCACAACAGAGATGTTGCTATGAAATTTATATAATTCCCAATTTATTATGCATAAATCGCTCTTTAAAACTGCTTGTATCATACACTTTCTTTATCATCACCACATAAAGGGCGCCAATCATTGCTGCAGAATGCTACAGAAAAAGATCATTTCAGACTCCTCAATAGGGTATAGCTTCCTTCTCCCAGATTCAGCCTCTGTAGAGAGGAAAAGGGTCTACATTCCTAGAGTGAAAACATACTCTGAGAATCTTAAAGAAAGAGGGGGAAAAAAAAAGGGCACAAGAGATAATTGCACAAGTTGCATCCTGTTCAGACCACATTTTACAAAACAGTTTTAAAAAGGACACTATCTTCAACAAATATTCAATAAATTTGACTGTAAGGTTCTGATTGTATTAAGGCTTCCATGGTCTTCCAAGTTTATTTCACTAGAAACACGCAACAACTGTGGATTAAAGGTTTGAGGTTTCCACACTACAGCTCTATCTACATTTTTCTCTTGATTTTCCCTTTATTATTCTCGGAATATGAGAAAAAACAAATCAAGGGGTATATGAAAAAAAGCAACATGTTGCCCACTTGTTTGCGGTACAAAGTAAACACCGACATTTTAGAAAGTAGATGAATAAATTAATTCTTGGTTAGAAACTGAAAGCCTTCTGTGGAAGCTGTGATTCTGCGATGCGATTCTCCTGCCACATTTACACTCCTTCAAGGTTGCACTCTAAGTAGGGACACTGGATATCTCATATAGCCTGACACACTCCCAAGTCCTGAGCATGTGCATTAGATTTGTTCACTTGGAGACACTACAGCTTTAAGGTCATTTACATTCCCTGGCATTTAAGTTACACTACGATACGTAAAAGTCTTTAACATCCTGCATTTGTCCACACTGTCCTTGACCTCTGAAATGACGTTTAGCACTCTGCTTACCAAGAAAGAACCAAACTAAGACACATTTCTGGAAAAAAAGAACAAGACACCGCTTCATTAGGACTATCCCCACATCTACTACTGGCTCTGTTATAGCAAACCACAAAGTCTTTCTTCCATGATATTCTTCCAGCAAAAGGGAGTCCAAAAAAATGACTTCCTCCTCAAGTCATTTTTATAAGTGTGTGTTTAAGAGCCAACTGGTCAGACTCAGTAGCAGCTGAATATTGCACTGCCATTAATTCTGGGTACAGTTTCAGACCGAGTGGTGTACTCATGGTGTCAGTGGAGAATAACGACAGTGCTGGCTCAGTGATGTGAAGACCCAGGATGCAGAGGGAGGGGAGAACACAACAGTACCAAGTCACACCCTCGAGCCCAGCCACTGGCTCTTGGAGGTTAAAATTCATCACTTTCAACTGCATGGAGCTGGGTGTCATCTGCATCTGTCATGCTGCTTTCTTGGGATTCATCTGTGCCAACTTGAAAGAAAAAAAACACAAAAACACAACAAAAAAGTCAAAGTTTGGGGTAGCTTTGCTACAAGAATTTCTATGCAACTCRCACGTCAGAAGAAAAGCAGTGGTGTCTTTATTAGATGCCATGAACAACAAGGAACCAGGCTCCAACCTTTCTCCTCTTCAAATGCTTTTAGGCCATCTCCTCCTTCTTCCTCTTGCTTTCTAATTCGCTGATCCCTGCTAGCTTAATAGTTTAGATAAATGCACTAAGGAATTAACATGAAGTACATCTTCCTGAAATAAGCAACCTCATTGTTTTAGTGCTTTCTTATACACCTTTTGCTAAAGGCCTGAAGTTCCTGACACCTTTATAGGTATCAATCAGCAGGTTTCAAAGCCTCAGAGCCTTTCACTCTAAGTCATACCATCCATCTGAAATGCCTGTAAATAGTCACCTATATTACTCCATCAAGACCACTCAAGATTTGCAATCACATCACACTCAGCTATCAGCGTTAGGGAATCTCTACTTAATTCCTTGCCTTTATGGCAGAAAACACTGGGTGAGGTCTATGGCAACAGCTTTGAGAACTTGCATTTCAAAACTGCATTTTGCTTCGTGGAGGGTTTTTCTGCTCGCTCAGCTCAGCTGATTGCTGAGCTACAGCTTCCAGGAAACTAAATTCCTACTGTTCACATGGATGAAGACAGTTTGCTGTCCACAGCGTACAGGATTAATGTGTGCATACTGAGAAGCTACTCCTAGTTCGCTTTTTGTCCTTRTTAAGATATTTACCTTAGTACTCATTTTAAAATAGTTGTTCTGCACGTACAATAGCATGAGTTGAGTCTGCTCTCTATAGCAGAGTTCATCATATTTTCGTTTTTCCAAATACCTGACTTGTTTCACAGGAAGAAATACAGATGCCTTCACTATTCTAATGAAGCCCCTATTCTACTGCAGCTGCTTCCACACATTTCCATACAATGGATTCTTCCAGACCTGTGCTAGACAGTTCAATGTATGAAGTGGCTTATATTAGCCAATATATTAAAAATAATTCCCTCCACAAATACTATTTTACTTTGTTTTCGCTAGTCTTACATATCTTGGGAGCTACTCATCTTTGACTTTCTCTATTTTACCTGCAGGGCAAGGGAAACTGAAGGTAACAAGAATATTGGTTTATCTCAGTTATGCTTATTGGACAGATGAAATTTTATTTCCCTTTCCTCCTCTTACAGCTCAGTGGTTATGTGTTGCTCAGAAGCTCAATACTTTGTCTCCATCTTCTGGGCAGAAACAGGCTCATCCCCAGCGATTCACAGTGCTCTAGATTAGTCCAACTAAAATAGCGGGGAGAAAAAGTCTGATACTTCACGTAAGGTAATGCAGGCCAAGTTTTAGTATTAAAAACACATGATGAACAAAAAAGAACCAATGAAGTCAACACGATATACAGCGGCAAAGCAGCTTTGCCAGATGAAGATTTAAGATTCTAGAAAATAATGTATTTTGTTAATTTTCCCCTCCTAAAGAGGAACATGAAGCACTTTTTCCTCTCAGAAGCTTATTAATTTGCTTATTGGTATTCATTTTCTATAACCATCTATTTCGAGCTTGCTTCAAAGAGGTCAATATATACATTTTTCATCAGGCTTCCAATTGTAAACAAAAGAAGTTAGAGAAAGAGGAGATATCTTCTGTAGATCATTTCCATGCAGTATTTGAGAGTGCTTATTTATTCTCATTTCAAATGAAACTGGTTCTACTTTCTTTGAAAGCTACTTTTAAGTAGCTGGAGTATTCTGGGCCAACATTGTTAAACAGTATTTGTTGAGAAACTCCTACTCCTTAAAGATTTTGTCTCTGCAGATGTAAACTTTACAGTTTCTAGAAAAAAAATCTCATTACTTCATGTTTACTGCAAGAGGAAGCAACTTGGGAAGGAAGAACCTCTGGAGTTCTTGCTTGCTGTGCAGACAGGCTGTCAGGACATGCGAGCATTACCTGACACCCAAGATGAAATATCTCCTTGAATGACAAGGAGGTGGAAATACCAACCTGATTCATAGGGGTAACATTCACTGATTTGCTCTTCTTGAGTTATTGGTTCCTCATCATCTGGAAGGTAACGTTTATCAATGGCCTCTTTGATCTGGTTGTTGGCTCCTTTGGGATCTAAATCCATGGCCCATGAGAAGTTCATTAGAGCCAAGTGTGTTTGACCCAGCTTTTTATAAACCTAAAATAAAAGCACAGAAKGTTACACTTACATGAAGTTGTTACTTTCAAGTCTATACAACAACTATACTCAACCTCAGCAGGTTACTTCCCTTTGCAGACATAGGTGTAGTTTAAGGTAAGCAGAGAACTTCAGAACACAACTGAGTTTCTAAGGATTTACCTACCTTTCCTATTAAAAAGTAAACAAGAGACTCTTTGGGAACAATCTGTTTCAGCTCTTCAAGTTCTTGTAAAGCAGACTGAAAAGGAAGGAAAAGAATATGAGTTAGCAGCCTGCAAAGAGTTATGGTGTCCCTAAACTATGATTTAGGGACCTCTATGAAGGATATTTGACAAAAAAATAAAATAGTCAGTCGCTCTATAAGGGCAGATATCCCAGGTTCTTCCTGCTCACATTAGCAACCCTGATGCTACCAACACAATGTGTAATATCATTTAGCTGCCAGTGCATCCTCATTTACAGTTACAGCAGCTTGAAGATGATTTACAACCATCTATGTACCAAAACTTACCTTATATTTTTCGTTTGCAAATAATACAGAAGCTCTATGGAATTTGCATAGCGGGTTCTTAGGGTCAACGTTAATAGCTTTGTTTAAAGTATCCAAAGCCTTTTCAGATTTTTTCAGTGCATGCTGAACCTATTAGGGAGAGAGAACAATCTTATAAAGGAAAATAACAACAGCTGATCTGTCAGATCACAGCTTCGTTTCATTTACTAACAATCTCTTCCTATGAAATTATTGTATTTCTCCAGTTCCAGAACAAGCCTTAAGAAAACAAGTTTTCTTACAAGGAAAAAATAAAATATCCACCTCCCCATACAACCTCCCATCATGATTATTAACTATATTGAAAGTGGCATCATCACTACTTTACAAGCAAGCATTTCCTAGGGTGTTGCTACTGTTACTCTAAGGGGCAGGTGGATAAACGATCAACTTTTCAGACAGTTGCAAAAGTTCAACTGAAGCGATGCTGGTTGAAGTAACTGYGACTGCAACTTGCTAGGGTACAACATCATTGACAAAGTAATTTGGGAAAGAGGAGGATTTCTCTCCCTRCGCAGTACTCCTGTGGGCATTAGTTCATACCGGGAGATCTTCAGTGCTTTAAGTAGTCTGAAATTTTTGTAGGAGGGAAAAAAGMTACTAAGAAAAATAAATAAAAACCGCAATATGACTTTGCCACTGCAAACAAATTACAAAAGCAGATTAAAACACAAGCTTAGAATTAAGTGCAATCTACTTACTACTCCAATGTGACACAGTAAGACTGAGCTCTGTGGATTGATATCAAGTGCTTTCTGGAAATGCATTTCTGCTAGACTGAATTTTTCCTGTTTGTAATAAATCATACCCARCCCATACCTGCAAGCAAAAAAAACCAATTCTGTTAAGTAAGACTGCTACTAACCAGCACTTGGCCTCTGTCAGTAAACACAACCTGACAAATATTCTACAGACTCACTGCTTAAGCAAGGGTATGAATTTTTCCTTATGGGAGAAATCTATGACTAAGGTTTTCTTCTCCGTTCAACTGCATTGTTAGAAGAACTGATATCTGATACACAGATAAAGACGACAAACAGAAGTAAAAAACATACAGAAGGGTCTTGCAGTTTAGGTGATTTTTACACTAGCAGGTCTGACTTTTACAGTATTTTCTGAAGAAATATCTAAAACAGATTTATATATACACACACACACACACACACACACAAATAAAAGACGACTTACCATGCGTTATAGTGTCTCGGGTTGACTCTGATTGCATTTCTAAAACAAGCGAGTGCTTTGTCTAGTTCTTCTGTTAACACAAATTCATGCCCCAACAGGGTGTAGGCATAAGCATAATTTGGATCAACTTGAATGGCTCTCTGGAAGAACTTGATTGCAATGTCATGCTCCCGTTGCAAGCTGAAACAGTTTCCTGCAGCACACCATGCCTAGAGAAAAGAGCACTGCAAAGTCACCACCCTTTTGACAAGGTAAAGGTGACAGAGTTTGAGCTGAACTCATTTACATAAGACTATATTACTGTTGCTATGATGAAACAGCACCTACTTAACCAGGGCACAGGACAGACCTTTCTCCCAGATTAAGAACAACTAGAACAAAGACTTAGTTAGATCTTGTTCTTGTGTGAGGCAGGTGAGACTGTGCACACTTTGTAATTAGACAAACTGAAACAGAGGTCAACAATTCAAGTGTATCCCGCAAGTTTGCACAAATTAGATACTTTAATTAGAGCTTTTTAAGATGTTGAAACACTAGAAATAAAATATCTATCATCTAGGAACAAAGGGGAGTCACAGTACATTCTCYTTCACTCTTCAGCTACCTCCAACTGACAGATTTGGAATTACGTAGAGTGACAATTACAGAAGCAACCTCCTCTCTCCCGCCTGCAGCCTATGCTCTCTTGCACTCCCAAATTGTTAGGGTCATGTCAGGTCGCACAACTCTTCTCCACTACTCACACTCCGCATTCTTCCCAGCTCCATCCTACCTTACTGCACACTGCAGACCAGCTGCTTCACAGGGTTGCTTTTATTGCTGGTAGGCACACTAGAAGAGGACAAGAACAGGCTCCCCTCTTCCAACAAGAAGCCTATTTCCAACAGCAGATCTAGGTTTATTGGAATCTAGTTTTCTCAGCTAGGAATGCCTGGAAGATGCCTGGCTTTTTGCATACTTGTGGTTTTTTTTTTTTCTTTGCCATACACCCTTTTGTTCAATGGCCTTTCTGAACRTAACGTTCCATTTTTACGTGTGAAAGAAACATTGGCCAACTATGTTTTGAGTGGCGGTGAATACTAATTCAAAGGTGTTGGATAAAACAATTCAAAGGTGTTACAGGATTCCTTATTTTGAGGTACTGCCAGTAGCAGAATGGGAAAGATCTACAGTTCTCAAATCCATTAGGGTAACACCTCCTGTAATACGAATGATTGATCCCTGGTCTTGCTGGATGGGTGATGCCAATGCAAATTTAAAGTCATTAACACATAAGAGGCTTCAACTTGTTTCATTTAAGTTGATATTCTTCCAAGCAATCCTGCTACCTCCCTCTCCAGTTTTACCATGCAGTTCTCACATGAGAATACACTCGAACTAGACTGGAATTTAGAGTTTTGTTCTCAGTCATTCATCTTGCCACATGCAGTTACTCTCTTCTCATCGAACGTCACAGCACTTTATACCTCTGGGGAGTTTTTGTCCATGTCTGTCAAATCCTTTGAGAGAACTGAAAGGGCAACATCTTTCTGCAGGTGCCAGAGCGTAGTGGAATAGATCTCCATGCCTTCGACTCTGTAGTTTTCAATCCTCCTTACCTCTGAGAATATCCTCTCAGCCTAAGAACAGAAGTCAAGTTAAAAAAAACAAACTCCACTCACTGAAACAGAGCGCTGAGGGCAACACTGGAAGCCCCAYACACCCAAACTGAGCATCTTTTTTGTTTTGTGAAGAGATGCACCACGTAGAACTACTGTGGCCCTGGGGGGTTTTTAATCTCCTCAAATAAAGGGGCAACTACCCCATATCTGGACATGGCCAGCAGAAATCCAACCAGCCTTCCCAACCAGCTGATTTGGATTACAAGTCTGTTTTTGTTGCAGGGCATAAGCAAGGTAGAAAAAGCTACCAGCAAAAAGGAAAAGTATTTAATATACATGTATGGGCCAGAGCACTCATGCCAGTACAGAGTATGGCTTCAGTTTCATTAGAAACTATACAGTTAGGAACTGCTGGCTGATGAAGTACTATTGATATAATCTGTATATCTGTATAAGTTTGTGAAACAGATGCCTACATCACTCAAAGCAGTAAAAGAAGGCAACTGCAAATAAAAAAGCTAAATTAGCTGAATGATGCTCCATTTCTAATCAGRTTGAGTACAATATTAAAAAATACTTCTGAAATCTATCACATTTTCTCCTCTTTACAGTAAATCAAGAAGTTTCTAAAGCTTCTAAGAAAACTTGTCTATAGAGAGCACATCAGCTACCAGGACAACAGCAATAAGTTAAACTGCTAGATACCCTTAGCTGCTCAATCATCATTTTTGATCCAGTTTGGCAACACCTCAGCTGTGCCAGAGCAGTAATTTCTGAGGCYGCAAAGGAAAGTAGGTCATTGAAGAGACCCGTGTTAACTAGAAAAGTTAAAAAATAGTCAAAAGCAGTTAGGTTGTGGCGTTGTTGTTATAGGACACAAACCATTTCCGTGATCCAGTTTATGACTCTGCACTGCAGACAGCCGCATCAGCAGAGCTGTGGGTGAAGGGGGAAAGGCAAGGCGGAGAACCCAGCGATTGCAGGCAAAGGGAAACAAATAAAGCTTTAAAAAGATTTAAGGCACAAACCAGCCTTTTCTGGAAAGCAGAACGACCACTGAGCCAGGCTCAAGATCTAAACTCGCTCTGAGCGTAGCTATAGTAGCATTCAGTTGAATAACAAAGTTATCTGTGAAAGTCATAAAACCCCACAGTTGAGCAAGTGGGGTTGCTCAAGCAACCCCTTAGATTTTATGCAGATTTATGCAAAATTCAATTGGAAAGAGTAAGAAAACACTACCTGCATATATTCTGCAAGTTCAAAGTAAGCTCTCCCAATTTGGCACAGTACCCAGCCAGTGTTGTAGTGGTGAGATGGCAAATGGCTTAAAATATTTATCGCTTCTTTACAGTTGTATGAACACAAGGCTAAATAACCTTTCCCCATGTCACGAAGAAGGCTCATCAAACCTTCTAGGAAAAAAAGAAAATGCAATAAACAAACATAGAAAAGACTGCTGAAATTATTACTCGAAACTGCTAATCCCAGAAACTATTTATTGCGGCTCCCAAATTCTCTTACAAGAATCATGCAAGGGTTCCCAAACACAGGTTTATATACTCCTGAGGCATAATATTCTCAACATCAGCCCTTCTAACGATTGACACATAGTGGCTTTCTTAAGCAGGCAACAAAACAGTCAGAAATAGTGACACTACCAAGTTCAGAGCAAGTAGAGTTTTACATTTACAGCCATGATTCCAACATTTTRTTAGGTCTGAACAGAGGTTTTCCACATGTCTGGTATCCATGGATAGCCCTGCTTGCTGACTGGAAGTTTTATCAAGCCAAAAGAAAGGAATTGGCAGTTCATCTAGGATTTTCTGGCAACCTGGATAAAGACCAGTTTTTAAATAAACGGGCTACAGGAAGATGAAAACRACTACATAAATCCAATTGAGAGATTAATATTCAATTATATAYAGCTCATTTGACTCAATTCCCAATAATCTTGCCTGACAATATTAAAAAAATATTAATCACTAATAACAGCCAAAGCCTGCAAGGTGCATCTGGTTTCAACTAYCACCTTTCTATTACTTCTTCCCTTGTTTGCTGTAAGTTAACTGGAAGATCCTGAAATTCATCAAGCTTGATAATTATACAGAGCTGATAGCTACAGGCCAACCAAACCAACAAGGAAGAAGCAAGCTAATTTCTCTCATTAGGTTTAAAAAAATGTAGATTTACATTTTTAGACTACATAGATTATTTGACTTTACTACATTCTGCTAGCATTCAAACAGACCTGCTGCTGCCTTCTGTAGCGTAAAAGCCTGAATCTGTGGTGTGACAGTAGAAATTTTCCCTTCGGAAATGATGGAAGAATCCAGTTTGGTAATTTCCAGACTATCATTTATGTTTGGTTGAGTTATTCCTCCCTTATTTGTTTTACTTTTTGTTTTTCTGTTGGGAATCTTAGGTGGRAATTTCATTTTTAGCTTTTTGCTATTTTCCTGAAAGGAAGAAGAGCAAGAGTTACATAAGCAAGAAAATTCAGATTACTCAACTTGCAAATGAACTGTGGATGAAGTGCATGTACGTTTGCACGGCCAAGAAAACAATAACACAAGATAGCAAAAATGCATGAAATTTGTTACCTTTGTTGTAGAGCTATCACTAGTAAACAGGCGAGAGCTTCTCCGAGGCAGCGCGTTTGGGGGAGCAGCAATAGTTGGGCTCAATACCTGAGGTGTTGTACTGAAAACAAGCAGTGCATTAAAACTCAAGTTTGTGGTTCCACTTGCAATAAAAATAGCTTTAATACTTGTTTTAAGCATTAAAAATGCTCAGGCACTATAGCACAGGTGTTGCCATCTCAAGATGAGAAAAATGTGCTGTGTATTAAGAACATGAGCACAATTTTCTTCTACTCCTTTACCAYTTCCTGATGAAACAGCTTAACTGTGAAGACAATTTTAAGAACAAACCAGCATCATGGACAAGTTTCGACCTTATCCATGGAGGTTTTTACAAAACAAAAAACAGCAACCAGCATCCACCCACTCTCCTTCCTCATCCAAACAGGAAAACTATGGAAACATCCAGATTCCTTTAGCAAGTGCAACAGGTAATATAAGATAAAATATTTTTCCTACCTTGTTTGTGGGCCAGAGCTCTGCGTTTGTGCAACAAGGATTGGAGTGACTTCCCGGCTATTTCCACTTTGTGAGAAGACAGATTTTGTTCCAGCTTGGCTTATCCTGGTGACAGTCTGCAAAACACAAAGTTTCTACAGGTTTGTTATTAAGTTCCCTAAGGAGTCACTATCTGTCATAGTCAAATCAAAGCTCTTCTGCCTATCAAACACTGCACAAAGAGGAAATTCAGATTTTTGCAATACTTTAAGGGTGATTCTTGAAAAAAATAAAGTATCTCTCATTCTGCGGGTGCCGGCAGCGTCACACAGCCGAGTGGCTCCCTCCCGCACCCAGAGATGGCATGAAATCCCTCCATCTAGTGGTAAGAAGAAAATATACATTAAGAATAGGAGGAATTTAAAATACCATATTTAACATTTGCTTCTCTGTTGGGAGAAAATTGAACATATGAGCAACCAGGCAAAAAAAAAATTTAATTACTGTATTACAACCATAAGCAGAAGCTATTCACCATTAACACCTCAGCAGAGCCCTTACAGAATAACTTAGAGACAGTCACTCGTCTACGATTTCACAATCATTTCAACTCCTGGTTAGCATAACTGTTCACAGCATAAATCAGTATTTAATTGATGCAGAAATAACCTCCTTCATCAAAAAAGGATTTGCGTCATGCAACATGCAAAGTTAAAAGATCAGAGACTACAGTCAAGTTAACACAGGAGAGCAAATTCTGCATGTCAGCAGAGCAGTGAGTGTCCACAGACTCTTGCACTTTTTGAAGAGGGAAGGAAAAAAAAAATCAATTGTAGTTTATTGATTGACTGTCCTGCCCTTCCTTTTCAAATTTATTTGATAGCGGAGGACACTTAAGGCAGCCAGCAAGCACGCTTACCCCCTCAGATAGGAAATCTTTGGGTCCATCCTCATGTTTCATTCACTTATGTTTCCTAGGACACTGCCCCCATGGATCATGGGCATTCTAGCCACAGCTACACTAAACCTTCTGCAACTTGGTAATTGGAAGAGCAGAAGTGAAAGCAGACAAGTAATTATATACATTGAACAGAGTATGGCTCTGCATTTTAAGCTATTTATTACAATGAGTTTAATAGTTGCGCTGAGGCAGCCATCCAGATACGGCTGGGCAAAACATTACAAAGGATTAGTAAAATTTACCCTAGACAATCCTGTGCCATATCCAGCAAAGCAATAAGACAAAAAAAGCTGCAAGCACGACTATGGCAGTTGCTTATGGAGTAAATGAGATTTTTTAAAATTTCTTTTGAACAAGGATCAGCCAACTGAAACAGCACCATTCTCTTAGTCAGCTCTCCATGGATGACCAGCAGTATTTCAGTTATGTCTCTAAACTAGAATTTAAGGACTGCATACAAGATGTTGAGTTTCAGCTCAGTCTTGGCTTCCGTACTTGAATTGTGGGTTTTCAGTACAAGACTGCAATGTTTCTGGGGGACAGATGTACTCGCGTCCACTTCTCCCAAAAAACAAAGGATAAAGGAAACTACGAACATGGAGGGGTGGAAAATGCAATYCGGTACCAAACAACTGTACACAGTTGTACATAAAGAGATCTGGAAGGCCTGATCTCTTAAGAGAAAATTTTACCAAGGGTTTATTTTTATTAGCAAGAGGAGATTATTGTTTATCTTTAAGAAATTTGAGACACCAACACAACTACCTTGTTTTGCTGCATTAAAAAATTGTTAGTAAGAGATTTTTTATATCTCATAGTATATACACATAAATTTTCACTGAATGAAAAACATTTCCATGACTAAAGGAGGCTGTAACCAGTTGCTTAAGTAGCCAAAATGCATTTCAAAAATAAGTTTGTAAGCAATGAATACATTTGGCTCTCCTCACCGTTAGCACAATCCAGCTCATACGCAAGATTTACCCTTCCCCCCTGCTTTAAACTATAGCAATGTAAAGAACAACAGAACAAACTGCATTCTGGAATGCAAAATACCTTCTTTGATGGTGCTCCTGTAGACGGCACATCAATCACAGAAGAAGTGTTTGTGTAGTTCTGCAAATATGATCCATCACCAGGGCTCGGTGTTTCTAGCGGCAGAATTCCAAAGCTTTATAAAATAAAGTGGAAATGTCAGAGTATTAAATCCCGGTAGYTGGACTGATTTTTGTGGTCAAATCAAAGACTGAGAAGACAAGCTTTATTTCAGAATTAGCCCAGGGACTGAGGCTAACCCTCTTAGTCCCGAGATTTTTCTAGTGAGAACTTTGCAACAAGCAATTTATGGAAGAGTCCCCCTCTTCTCAAGAAGACTAGTTGTTGCTTTAAGAAACACTAGAAATGAAGAAACACCACTTGGGTTTAGAGCAGCTATTGAAGCTGTTTGGCTTCTGTAACACTACTTGTAGTACATACCCCATGTAACTAGTACTGCACATCACTTTTGGAAAATTAATCTCTCCTGTTTCAAGGTACCAACAACATTAACAGTGGAGTAAAAGAAGGTCCATCTCAAGGTCCTACCTTGGAGTTAAGGGGCTCAAAGCTGCAGGTCCCCCCAGCAAACTCCTCCCAGTTTTTGGTTTATTCTGAGCCTGTTTAGACAATATGGCAGTTCCTGATCCAAGGGGGACAGCATCGGATGAAATGACAGCTGAGTCAATGTAAGACATGGAAGAATCCATGCCCAGGGAGGAGTATTTTGAATTGGAGGATTCTAAGTTGAGTCTATTCAACTCCTGAAAATGAAAGAGAGCCATCAGATGTTTTGCGATGKAGTTTCTATTTAAGAATACTCACTTAAACAGGAAAGACTGCTTTAAATCTCTAAATATTTTAGAAAAAAAAACTTACAATTGTGTCTTGTGGTGTTTCCATAAGGACAGTCTCAGACTGCCTGTGAGATATGTTGTGATTAGATACCAACGTTGTGCAAGTGTTAGGCAGGCAGCTGCTGAAGTTTTGTAAAGATGTTAATTTAAATGTTTGGTCAGGGTCTGGTTTTTCACCTGTAAGATAGGAAGGAGATGTAGTTAGAGTTGTTGAGTCTACACACTGAAGACCCAGGCTGAAATGAGACAGTGAACAAAGTATTTTAAAAGGGGTTATTATTTCATTATTTTAGACTGTAAAACTGCCTCAGTAATGCTTGCTTACGTAGTGAAAATTGAAGAGACAGAGCTCTAGTGATGGGTAAATTATTTACAGTCCATCATTGCTCCCCAAAACAAGCCTGAAGTAAGGAAAATGCCTGCATAATTCAAGTTCTGGACATGAGTAAAAATAAATCTTTCCACACAGAAATGGTAAATCAGAAGACTTGACTTACTGAGAAGTGTTGAAAACACTCTTGSTCAAGAAACAGTTCTGTGGACTTACCAATTTCACAGAGTGATTCAAAGGGAGACCAGAGGAAAGGATTTAAACTAAGGCTCTTTTGGTAACATTCGGATCCTTTGGCAAGCCGGTCCGTCTTGCTGCAAAAAGAATGCAACAGTTAAGGGAAACATAAGAACAGCACTTTTGTTCGAGATAGCTTTCCAGCAGAGCTGAAAAACAAAAACATGYTGAGAACCACAGCAACATTCCTAACTTTTTAAGTCTCAGAAATGGAGTAATATTGAGTTGTTTTCAMATTATCCAAAATATGCAGAGGCAGAAATCATTTAAATTCAGTTTCYCCCAAAATTACTGTACTTAAGTGCTAATATATACTTAAAAATCCAAAAGATCCTCTATTGCCACTTAAATTAATCTTTGTTCACATTTACCAAAGCCTTTCTTTATCTAAGCAAAGGCAAAACATTTACATATGTAAAGTTTTTACTCTGATAGGCATTAGTAAACTGGAAAACTCCTCAACTCCTTTCCTTTGAAGGCAGCTATTCATCTTTAGAACAGATACATGAAATTGAAATGATAATGCTGAGGAACAGGCCTTTAGAGTTTCACCTGAAGAATGAAGAACAAGCCCTGAATTATTAAAAATTACTCTTAGACTGTATACTTAACAACCTGGAAAAAGAAGCCTTTAAACTTTCAAGTACTTGGAAGCTCTGTGYAAAACAGACTAGTCCCTCCATGATAATCTGTGTGCACACCTGTCAGGCTCAGAAGTTGTTCAGGCTACAGAACTAAGTCAGCACTGAAGCTAGTGATGACAAAGTTTCTTAGCTAAGGTTTGGTCAAATCAAAGTGCAGGCTTTAAAGACAAAATAAAAGCAACTTTACCAATAGACATGTCCCAGTAAGGAGAGCGTAAAGCATGCAGAGTCTCCAAACTCCGTAACAATGTCATCATGGCTTTTCTGTTTATTCAACACTCCACCAGACAAGATCTGCTCTCCTTCTGCGAGCCTTTTTAAAAAACAAGAGGTTTAAAGGGGTTACAAGGCTCACACTACTGGTAGTCCAGTGTTTTCACCCTGCTGCAAATAAAAACAGAAATCCATTGTCAGTGTTCAAGCTTCAAATTGTGTCCAAATTAGCTCCTAAAAAAGTAAGTTTTAAATAGGCATAAACAAATCATCTCCTTGTCTCCCATCCATGTGAGTTTATGCTGGTATGTAGATCCAGAGTAGACCATTCCCACAAGAAAATAACATACACAAGCACAAATACACAGATCTAACTGAAAATACAAGTGACAGTTAAATTTAACAACAAATCCTAAAGAAAAGAAACTTTTCTAAAGATTAAATATCACATTTCTAACACATCTGTTCAGATGTTATACAGACACCAGACTTTGCAAGGGGAAGGGAAAGAGAAAGAATGATCAGCTTCAAACTTATTCCACAAGGAGATTTCCAATTAGACCATTAACATGATTTCCATCAGGTCGGAAAAAAAAAAAAAAAAAAAAAAAAAAGCTGTATTTCAGTAACTCTAGAAGTGCTAAAATATTGCCGAAAGAAACCAAAGAACTCAAGATACCCCAAATCCTCCTAAGATGTCAGAGAACTTTAGGGGGGGAAGGGAAAATTAAAAAATAATCTCTCCTTGCCACCTCTCAAAGATGACCTGCATTTTGATTACATGTTGTGGATAGGATTACGAATGTTGCAAAGTAATCACATCCTCAAATTTCACCTGTTACACATTCTAAATACTTTTGTTGTTGCTGAAAGAAGGCCACTTATCAAAAACGATCTCTTTGGTGAAGAAAGATTTTAAATTCTGGAGAGCACCTCACAGTATTTCAAAAATTGTGAATAAAGTTTTTGCATCCCTCATAGAATAGAGTGAATGAGGGTGCATCTTAGTCATACATTGTGTCCCATATTTCAGCTTTAAAAGCTTGAAACATCTATGTAGATGTGAACTACTCTCGTTAGCAAACTCTCAACACTTGATGAAAGGAAGGAGAAAAAAGCATTGGAGAGACACAAAATCAAAATAAACACTTCTTAGACTAGTCTAATTCAGTCTTCTCAGCACCAACTCTTTTCCCCCCTACAAGCTTTGTCAACTGCCTCACAAGTTATCCAATACCTTTTAGAGGTTTCTGCAATATGGGCTAACATTCATTAGGTCTGCATCTGAAAGCAAAGGAACTACTCACAATAATCTTTAGGGAGAACTAGTGAATTACCAGCTTGTGCAACAAYTCGGTTTTCAAAGAGAAACTCAAACAAAAATGCATTTGTAATGGCTGGCACAGAACACAGCAGGTTTACTTACTTGCTGAGGTCAACACAGCATTTTGCAAGCAGGTATTTACATTGGGGGGTAGTACAGCTATGTCCCTTTAGAAGCCTGTATGCTTTATATGCCTTTCCTGAGCGGTAGTAACATGTTGCCAGCAAGAACAGTGCTTCTTCTGAATGTACTGAAAAACACAGAGGAAAACATTCATTTGTCATTTTCACTGTTTCGATACAAGCAATCGAAGTGTAAAAGGCAAGAAGAAATAAGATGCAAAAATGCAAGCTCTGATGTTAGAGATTGAGAAGTATTTGCTTTATTGGTCAGCATATAGAGAATTTCCAACACGATGTTTTCTTGTATATCCAAATATATCCAAACTCCAAATATCTATTTTTTTTTTTTGCTTAACTTGCTGTTATTTTAACAAAGTGAAGCTGTTGTTCTGTGTACAACAGAATGACAACTTCTTGTCCCTCGCAAGCCTTGCCTCAGGATGTTATCATGAAATATTCCCTAGTAACACTTTGCACTAGCTTAAAGTAGTGCAGAAATACAAGCACAGTGATATCTGTCAGGAAGCAGAAACAGAGAGGACCAATTTCAAAGTAGCTTAGTTAAAGGTTTTAATCCCAAAATTCAAATGACCTTCCACTTTTTATTTATTTTCCTGATGATCTTGACTCCACACATAAGTGTCTTAAAATGCAAATTCTATGAATTTAATGACTATTAAAGCAGATCAGCTTACAGTCACCTCTATCCCTAACATTAAATCCAGTCCTTTTTGCTGCCTTCCCCTCCCCACCCCCCCCCAATTTATTTCTTTGAGCACATGGCTAAATATAACCAATTCAGATGCTCAATTTATGCGAGGAAACAGTGATAAGGACAAGTTCTCCTGGAAACCTTCGCCAGTCTTAGCCCTGACAGGTTTCTAAATTCTGAATGAAGTAGTCACCAGCAGGAAGAACAACCTCTAGAGAAACCGAAAGCAAGAGTAGTCACAAGGAGCACATTTCTCTGTGATGGAAACTGAAATTATTTAGACCTGATCATATCTGTTTCAACATCTCTTCCACARCAGAGAGAGAATGTCTCACTGCAGTGCAGGAGAAAGTCAGAAATTACAATGCCAGAGAACTATGCTGATATGTTAATGCTACTGTTAAGCTAGTGATTGTGTGCAATACTGTTATGTCTTCATTTTTACTCTTTTCTAGACTTTAAGCAAAAACGAAATATCCCTTTACAATCAGTGTTTAGGTACAGCAACAGCTTTTTAAGCTGTTTGTACCAAAAGTTAGATTTGAGACCAAAAGTCTCAAATCACCAACATGTAACAAGCTATTTACTTCAAAGAATGACTTCCTATGAAAGCAAGCAATTTAAAATTAAACAAACACTTTAAAATACACATTGATTAATGCTTTTCAGATGCACTACTACAGAGATGAAATTCAGCATTAAAAATACCCTTATAATTATAATTTTTCTTCACCTGGGTACATAGGACTCTCTAGAAATATCAATACACAGACCACTGCACAAAAGCTTTTTGGGAAGCATGTTCAAGTCTTTTGCTACATTGAAAAGAGATTATCAAAAACATATATATAGAAAAAAAGAAAATATGTAGAGCATGAAACAAATAAAACATTTTAATTAGAGTTGTAATAAGTCAAAACACTTTGTTTAGCCAAAAAAAAAAAAAAAAAAAGCATATTTTTCAGCTAAGGGTTTTTTTTCCATGTTAGTGATTAAGGGCTAGCATCTTCCAAAACAGAGAGATGAAAGGAGAAAGAGAAGGAGAAAGAAAGTGGGGGGGGGGAAGAGAGCTTATCTGAAGCCATAGAAGAAAAGATAAGAAAAGGACTAGAGCACAAGAAGAAAATGGTCTCTGAAAGACCCAGAAAAAGTGGGGATTTGTGTTTCTGCTGCCTGCTTAGTATCCAGGCTACACAATAGATCTGGCAGCATTATAATGAAGTAACAATTAACAAGAATAGAATTGGARGCATCTATTCCATTTTATGTTCTCGCTCTCCCCATCTCAGTTTCACATCCCTCATCCTCACAAGACTTTCATTCAGGTATCACAGCAGTCAACACAGGAGAACGGGGCTTATTGACGAGACTAGCTTTCAATACCAAGGAAACCTCCAGAATTCATTTGTGCACTATATCTATTTCAAGTCCTGCTGAAAAATATGTAATTCTTAAGGTAATATAACACACTCAGAACCCCCACACAACTCTCCCATCTGACACCATAATAGACCRCTGGAAACATTACACTTAAGTACTTGACTCCAAGTCTAATTTTTCTTTTCCTGCAAAAGGTATTTCTGCTGTAAAACATTCTTATTGTTAGTAGACTTCATTTTTCAACCAAATTGTGAAGAATTCATCCACTTGTACAGGTAGAATGAAGTCAACTTTTACTATCACAGCAATAAGTGCAGGACAAAACAGGACCAAAGGCTTAAAATGCTAAATCATAGCTGAAAAACATTAAGTTCACTTTTGCAAAGTACTCACCTTCTGCATACAGCCTTTCTGCGAGGAACACTGCATCGCGGTAAGCGTAGTGGTTAAGTGCTTGCCATATAGCAGCCTGTAAGATTAAGAAAAAAAAGTAAGGAAAATTTACACTTTAACTTAACACAAACACCCTCAGTAAGGAAAATTTACACTTTAACTTAACACAAACACCCTCAGCAAGAGAATGGGGTCCTTCCAACCTTAATGGTCCTATGATTCTATGATTATTAATAGTCTAAGAATAAGTCTAGAACTGTCTGCCTCATAATACCAACCTTTGTTTTTCACAGATGAAGACAGAGTTTGGGGTTAATACATTAGCAATCAGAAGGCATCAAAAGATGTTACTGCTCCAGTGAAATAAAAGTCAAGTGTATGTACAAGCAAAATATATCAAGTCTGAGCTACTAGATTTGATCAAGAGCTGCTTTAGCAAGAGCTAACTAGCAAAAGATAAGGTAATTCACCTTAGATAAGATTCAAAACAGTCATCAGCTTCATAAAAAGAAAGCTTTTCCCCATCTCATCCCTTTAAAGCCTCCCCACCTATTAAAAGCTGTGGCATGCTCCTGTATCTGTTTTTTCYTGAGGTGAGAGGGATTGGTCCCAGCATTGCAAGTCCATCCCAAGGGGCAGTCTCCCTTGAGCTCCACAGTGCTTCCCATAAGGCAAACAGCCATTTCGCAGGAGTTGTGTCATTACAGAGCCAAACAAGAGCTGAACTCTTGAACTCAAGGCTCTGCGCTCTAATATTTCTCCAGTAYTTATAACCAACTGAAGAACAGAAAGTAGCTCCCGATAACATACCAGATGCTCATCAATTCCAAAGCTAGTGATATAGCACCCTGCAACGCAATTCCCAGCAGGAAAAGCAAGCACCAATTTCATTAAAATAAAATAAAAAAAAAAATCCCACCTCACATACAGTTACATGTACCATATGCTGTTATTTCCAACACAAACTTGACAAACTCGAGGTGTGAAAAATGTGCAAGTTCTCACAGAAAGCCTACACAGTTGTTATGAACAGTACACACCACCGCTTCTAATTACTACATAGAATGTTTTATACAAAACTTCTAGAGATATCACTCTGCTATCAGTATATTTAAAAGCCAACATGTGCTCTTAAGCTTCGCGAAAGTCTTAAAAATGACTTCTCTCAGTTTGGTTCTTATGCTGTGAACACTATTTCCCTCCAGTTGCGTCTTGCACTTAAGATAACTTCAGGCACAGAGTCTGCTCAAAGTGATTCCTCTTTTTCACCTTAAAAAGCTGCAAGGCCACGTATTATTCTGCGCCCTCCCAGACAGCACAAATTACAAGGCAGGAGGACACTGAAGTCTTTGAGACCACATCCAACTCAGAGCACCCCCAAGGTTTCTTCTTGCTCTCAGAAACTCTTCCTTTCATCTGCTAAGTCACAAGAGACATTCACAAGAACCTATCCAGGCTGTGTTACCTTCAAGTCAAAAACTACCATCTTTACGAGACAAAGGTACTAGGCAGGTGGCGACAAAGTCAATGTCATTCCTAATCTTGCTAAAAAGCTGATTTTTCACCTGTGCAGCAATTGAATCCCACATTAAGAACAAAGTCTCATTCTTAAACTTCTGGCTCAGACTAAGAAAAATATTTCTTGTGCACCTTTTAAGAAACAAATTTCATATAGAAATATAAATTCAGTTTGATTAAGTTCATTGCATCCATACAGCGTTAGTGGCTTTGAGAAGTGGGAGACTCCAGACATGGCATGACAACCATTACACCAGTGCGCTCAGGGATACTCAAAGGAGACCCCTAGGAAAACCAGTAAAATTCAAATGAACACCACAAAGAGTGGTCTGAAGCAAAAATCTGGGTCCATTTAGCCATTTAAAACTCTAATTCCTAAATAAAAGCCTAAGACCCATCTTCTGTCCAGGAAAACCCGTCCRTTGTCCAAGTGTCCCTTTGCAGCTAAACCCAAGATCTCTCTCAAAAGATTGGGGTCCTCCAAGCGTCACACAACTTTGAAAGTCCCGTTCAAAGCTTTATGGCCTATTAATATGCCCAGCAATCACTTCCTATCACAATTTAGGATTTGTTCATTGCGGGCAGAAGGAAGGAGAGAGCTTTTAGTGGCAACTCCTGCTGAATTACTAGTTATGGAGAGCCTGTCCATTATATAACTGAACCTTGACAGACTGACAGCATGTTTACAACCATAACAGTAGTGCAATCTTGGAGTTCAAGCATCGCTTGAGTGGATCAYGCAGCAGATTATTACCTTGAACACTTAAAGTCCAGGAAAAAGGTTCATTTGCAGGATGTTTTTCAGCAATACTTCAAATGGATCCAATCTGTTTCTCAGTACAGGGGATAAATGTCTTTATGTTTGAGTTGAAGAGTTTAATTGACCACATCAGGAAGTACAGTAGGGGTCTGTTCTCTGCTTAAATTCTGGCCTCTGTGGGTTTTTGTGTTCTAACCAGCAACCTGGAAGCTTTTCATAATATGAACTTCCTATACTTAAGGCCCAACACTTACAAAGTACAAAATACACAGATTTCATTATTTATCTGTCACACTTTGCACATCCCAACTGTAAAGATGACAGCTTTTATGGAATGACAAACCCCACAGACACCTGCAAGCCCAGGAAGAGACAACTAGACAGGCAAAATATCTGCAAGACCAAAAAAAAAAGTCAATATTTATAAAAGTATTGTTAAAACACACAGAAACAGAAAACCAGGGATAAGTACTTGGACTCCAGCTAAAACAGAAACTCAAAAATATAACTTAGCCCAAATGCATACTGCAAAATGGAAAGCAATTGCTGGACACATTACGATAATAACAAAATGAACAGCAGCTGGTTTGGGAASCTGCTGTAGCAGAGCCCTCCAATCCCACATCTGTGCCAAGGGAGGGCCACAGGCAACTAAGGCACCCAGCTACTSTCAAGTCACCAGCAGAAAAAAGTGCATTTTTTTTAATATGTATATTTTTAAAGCCTTTCTTGGGGGCAAGGGGAAGAAAAGGAAAGAATACATTTGGAATCAGCAATTCACTTGAGCAGAGTCAGAGCCTGAACAGAGCTGAAATGGTGACGTGTTTTGGAGGATGCGCCTACTTCGCTGACACCAAAAGCCTAAACCTGCTGGTACTACTGCGAGTAGGCAAAAGCAGCAGGGCAGGTGGCAGAAGTGCCACTGACTAAAGGATTACTTGGCATTTCAGATTAGATGCAGTCAAAATGGATATATTCCATGTAGCAAAGCCTCATCCAAACATATTCCAGTTGATAAGAGCTTGAGCATGGAGAATATTATTAGATAGGTCCTTACTTTCTTAAAGAAAATAAATACAGTGCCTTTCTACTTGGCTCAACTAGTTAGCACAATATTGGAAACATTAACTATTATTTCCTGTCATTCACTCTGAAATGTGTATTCTTGCTTCCTTGTCTATTGTAATCTCTTGTTTTTCAGCAATGGTTTGAATACAACCAGGAGAGGGTCTGGGTGGCCAAAAGCATTTCCAGCCCCCTACTAACTGTTGCTCTCCAAGGGGACCAACAGCACAACGGTACCAGGGACACAGTGCCCAGTCTGCAGCAGCAGGGCCATCGCTGCCACTGTCTTGAACAGGCAGGTTTGTGGTGGCAGGGTGGTCCTTCACTAAAGGAGTCTTCCTTCTTCTTCTCATTAAAGAAAAAGAGCCAAAAAAAGCAACATTTTCACTATGTTCATGACAATGCAACATTCCCATATTAACAAAACACTTAGAGTGGGAGGTTCTTAACGTATCAAATAGGGAAAAATAGTATTACAAAACACAGAAGCACAAAAAAATAATGGTTAATAGAAGATCACAGAAAAGCTGGTTTAAGTGGAATGGTGAAMATAGGAAGTGACTTCTTTAGTTTGCAAATCCTGTGTTTTGGATGGGGAGACTAAAATATGGCAGGGAATCACCAATGTTCACATTATTTTTCTCTTGCAGGTCTCTTATCAGCATGGAGATACCAACTCCCTGGGAAACATGGCACGTCCCTCATTTGCACGGCACGTACAGGGCATACAGGGTGCATTTAGAAAACACAATGGCAGCAAACGCAGACAGGTGAGTGTGAGCAGAGGGGCGATCAACAGGTCTTCCAGAAGACCCGCAGTAGTGGCAGGAACAGAAAGGCCTTTCCTGGAAGAAGATCTGAGCCCCACACTTCCAACGGGGAGGCAGAACCCACCCCAGCCCCCAGTCCACGGGCCCCCCCGGAGGGCCCAAGCACCCCCTACGGATGGAGGCCTCGTCCCGGGGGACACACGGAAAGGGAAGGAGAAGGGGGGCAGGGGACGGCGGGCAGCAGCGCCGAGGCGCCCCGCGGCCCTGGTTCCGCTCCCGAGGCGGCCCGAGGGCCGCAGCCTCCCCTACCGAGGGCAGATTCGCCCGCCGCAGGAGGGGCCCGGCGACGAGGCCCTTCCCCTGCGAAGCGCCGCGGCCGCCTCCCCGCCGCTAGGCCGRGCCGGGCCTTCGGGCCTGAGCGCGGCGGCGAGCCCGAGGGGTCGCTACCTGGACGGGTTCCTGCAGCACCGTCATCCTGCTCGCGCCGACGTCCTCGCCGAGGCCGGAGCGCGGCGGGCGCGGCCCTGCCTCAGTGCGCGTCCCGGCGGCGGCGCGGCGCGGCGCGGCCCCCACTCATTTAAACTCCAAGCGACCGTTACCGGGGCGGGCGGCGGGGAGGGAAGGAACGAGGCCGGCCGAGTGCCCGAGGCCGCCCGAACGCGCCGGCGGAAACACCCGAACGCGCCGGCGGAAACACCCGAAGGACGCGGCGGAAAGAGCCGAGCGCTGACGGAGAGCAGCTGGGAAAGCCCCGGCTCGTCAGCGAGGCGGAAACAGCCGAGTGGGATCGGAGATGCCCGAGCCGAGCAGGGGGGCGGGCGGGGCTGCGCGCTCGGCGCTTCCGTCAGAGTGGGGTGGGAGCCGATTCAGGCTAAGTTTGGTTTAGCCTAACTAAGCTAAGCTAAGCTAAGCTAAGCTAAACTAAACTAAACTAAACTACCTTTACGCCAGTTGTGCTGCACCGTGAACTTATATTGAGTTAAAAAAACACCTTCAGGCCAGTTGGGCAACCCCTGGGTGCAGGCACTCAGAGCCATTCTTGCCCCTGCGCCTCCAAAGGTGTTTTTACCTCTCCTTGGAGCCTCCCCTGGACTCAGAGCAAGGCCACTGGGCTATAAAAGGCATCAGCGTGGACTGCTGTGAGGGCTGCTAAGTGCATGGTCCCAACCTGTGTTAGTGCAAATCAACCCTGCTTTTATCCCAAACCAGTCCCCTGCAAGGGACTGGGGACTGTCTGCATCCCCAAGGTGTTTCCAAGGCTGCATTTTGCAGCGCTCATCCCTTCGCGGCCATGGGTTTTCCCATGGGCTGGGGTATCTCCCTCTGCCTTCCCGCTGCTCCGTTCTGTACAGCTTCTTCCTGTGCTGGAGAGGTGGTGGCAAGGGCCAACACTGTCCTCTCATCCTGTCACTGTGGTCCTTGGACAGGTTAAAACACAGATAGTGCATTAAGGATGTGAGGTGCCCAAATAGCTGCTAATGAGACCTATAGAAATACCACAGACACAGAAGGGACCTATAGAAATACCACAGACACAGAAGCTAAAAGCCGATCTTGCATCTGCAAATAGCTTGCGTTGCTTCTCATAAGCGTTCACAGCAAGCAGCTTAAATTAAAAGCAGCTGTTACCCAGTTGTTGAACACAAACAAGCAATGACAACTGAAGCCAGTCCCATTGAAGCAAAATATTTTAAATTTCTAGTCATAAGGCACAGAAGAAGGACATTTGAACAAAGCRCAAATCAAAGACGAGCATCACGTCCTCCCAGTGCTCTGCTGAGTTATCTGCCGGGAATTATTTGTCATTATTTATCATTCCTGGGATGATACAGTGATCTTTTGGTAGTAGAGGTAGAGGGCCATCTGCTTGCATCACACAAGCCCTCCTGCTCTATGTGTAATTTTTAATTGCACAATAAGCATTGTGCACAGTATGCACAGGTTATTGATGGGCTACATGCCTGAGAAAGATCGTGACTTTAAGGAAAAGGTAGGAATCCCACCTGGAGGCTGACAAAAAACTTGGGTCGCCCCTGAATCTGAACCCCGCTTTCTTGTACAGGGCTAATAAAGGCAAGCTCACGTCCCTTTCTTGCCACTTCTGATCACTAATGTTAACTCTGTTAACACTTCAACCAAGCCAAAACATAGATAACTTCAGAGGGGAGGGAATTAAATTTAATGAGCAAATTGTCACAAGAAAAAAAAAAAAAGGAATTTAGGGTTTGAAACCAAGGGTGAGATGCGTATCCCTTGTATACTGAATATATAGTGTAAGTATGAAGGCTGGCTCCTCACTGCAGCTCATGAAACGTCCCTGCAGACTCAAACCATCCGGGGAAGAAGGGATAAAGACGGAGGAATCTCGCTGTTCGTGGGACAYGGGTGGATCCAAACAGTTCCAAAAAAACCCCTAGGATGCAAGAAGGAGAGGGCTTAATGCACTGRATCTTTGACATGACAGAGCTGTTTCTCAGGTGGCCCAAAATRTCAATAGTCACCCTTCTGTGCCATTAAAAAACAGCATTTCATGCGAATAGTTTTGTGTAGAATCCAGCCTCTCTGGCAGCACTTGGCACCTAAACACTTATGTAGGTGAGGTGATGAACGGGAACCAGGGAGAAATGGATTAAAGGCAAGATGAGTGCTGCATATTCAAAGTTCAYACTTCTGTCTGCCTCCGTTTTAACCTTCTGATGTTTAAAGGGATTTGTAGCGGAGGAAAAGAGATTTTTCACTGCTTAATTGGTGTATTTAACAGTATCTGAAGAATTCCCCTTGCAGCCTTTCACCCAGCCAAAGAGAGGAAAAATACTTAAGAAAATGAGATAATGAAACCCTAAGAAACTAGCAAGGGAGACTGGGGACAGTTGGAACAGTTCTTSCTGATTTGTTTTTCTTTTAAATTGACTAGATTGCGAGGGAATAATTCAAGGCGCTCTGTCTCTGGCAGTTATCGCCTGTGTTAGCAATGTCAGTAGTTGTCGGTGTTATCAGTGGGAGACTCTGACTCACCTGGAGTTCCTCCTTTCAGCCAGACATGATATGCTTGACAAAAGCTAAAGAGAAAATGAGACACGGGTGAGATATCTGAGCGTGCATTGAAGTCCCATGGATCTCAGMCTGGGGGCTGAAAGGGGCTCCGAGCTGTGGCTGCAAGTTGCTGCCACTTGTTTCTACCCCAGACGAAATGTCTCAGAGCTCTCCTTGGAGAGGCTGCCTATTTCCTCTTGGAAAACACATTTTGCCCCTGAAAACAGGACCACTATTTCAGATAGGAATCCGTTGCTCCTACCTTCATAGTTGATGTAGCCGTTGGCATCTTCTTGCCCTGCCATGAGCTGTTCCACCTCGCTCTCTGTCATCTTCTCCCCTGGAGGCAGAGGATGGAGAGGTGAGGGCCTTCCCTCTGCCTGCACCCTCCTGTGCTCCCTCTAGAGAGTCAAAGCCACCAGAAGACAGAAAAGGGAGTTGAAGTGGAGCTGTCCACCAATGTGCTACGGAGTCTGGTGGGAGGGTGAGGAGAGCAGACCAAGATGCAACTGTTCTCCGGGAGCCGAGGATGTCGTGGGGTCTCCAGCCCACTTGGGTCATGCATGAAGCTGCACCCTAAGCTGGGAAAGGCCAATTAGTGGGGGACAGTGCTAAGAGAACACAAAGCACAAAGCAAAGTCCACCCAACCATGGGATGAGCTAACTAAACCAAGCCCTTCCTAGGCTTCTGCCCAAGAGGAGCTAGCGGTGGCCTCTGCTCCTTGAGCACCTCRTCACAGCTCCCTCCCTCCCATGGCTTGTCCCCAGGCTCCTGGAACCAGTCCGTACCCAGCGTGGCCAGCACGTGGCGCAGCTCTGCCCCCATGACGGTGCCGTTGCCCTCCTTGTCGAAGACACGCAGCCCTTCCACAAAGTCCTCAGCGGAGCCCTGCTCCTTGCTGCGGGCCACGTGCTGCAGTATGGGGAGGAAGGCCTCGAAGTCCAGGGTCTTTGTGCTCATTTCTGAAAGAGGAGGAGGAAATATTCAACCTCTACCTTGCCTTCCTGCCCAAAACGGGATATTCCAGAGAGAGGGACACATAGATGGAGGGGGACAAAGCCCACTTTGGTCAAGCCCCTGACCATGGYATGAGAATACCTGAGAACACGGCTGCTCACCCACAAATGTGATCCMGCACTTTGCCTGGCCCCAAACTCTGCAATTTTAAGTTCCTATTCATTTTTGAGTTTCTGAAAGCAAGAGATTTCCCTCTTCTTTGTATGGGTTTATTCCCGGTATGAGTTCCAGTACAGTTCCAGCTAAAGTAACAAGTTTCAGGCTAGCAAACTTAGGAGAAATGGAAACCCTCCAGACTGAGTTATAAAAAAAATACGGATTTTTAAGCCTGAAATGACTTCTGAGAGCTTCAGATGGCTCCAGAAGCACAGGGAGAGCCACGCGGCTTCTTCCCACCCAGCATTAAAGCAAATTCCCAGCAAAGGGCTGCGGATTCATTCTGTGTCAGAGCAAGAATTCGCTCTTTGCTTTCCCTACAGCAAAGACCCAGTTGCTGGGCTGCAGCCCATGGAGCAAGGCTTGGGTTGCACCAGCTCAGGATCTGGCCTCTTGGCATCAACTGCTGCCACCACCAGTTCATCCATGCAGGTCCAGCATGGTGTGCACAGGGGGCATGAAGGAMCTACACAAGAATGAGGCCCCTCTACTTCACTTCTCTTCAATTCCTTCTTCTCCTACAGGGAACACCGTCCTCTATGTGCTGGGAAGCTGTAGTGCCACCCTCTCCCTGTTGACTGTAGTCAACTGTTGACTGCAGTCCCACCCAGTCTACTGACTGCTCGTCCCACCCTCTCCCCATTGCCCCAGTCACTGTCACCTTCTGGTTTGGGTTTGCCCAGCACCTTCAGGACCTCCGCATTGGTTGGGTTGTGACCGAGCGCTCGCAGGACGTCCCCGCACTGCCCGTATGTGATCTGCATGGCTCCCRTAGGCGTCCGGTCAAAGAGGCTGAAGGCTTCTTTGAATTCTGCGGAGATGAAGAGCTCGGCTGTCCCCTACCCATGCTGGCCTCACTGCCACCCTGCCAGGAGCCGCTCCAGTGGCCAGAACCAGTGGCTGCTGCTGGTGGCTGCCCAGGGCGCACAGCCCCCACTCGCTTGAGGAACAGGAGGCCACAACCCTCCAAAGCCCAACCCCTTTACCAAGCCACCCGCTCCACAAGCAGGTTTTGTCAGTCCATGCAGAGCTGAGTGACGAATYCTGCAGGGATTCCTGTGCTACCTTGGGCTTGTGGGACTCCCTGCACTTCCTTCTTCCCTTCTTGGACCTCCTGGGGATCCTACCACCCTCCCGGCGCATCCCACATCCCGTCTCTGTGACCGGCTCAGCGCTGCTTCCACAGGGGTGCTGCTCTTGCTCCACCTTGCAGGCAGCCTCCCCGCTTGCTCCTCACATCTCTCCCCGCTCTTTGGACTATGTCTTCTACCCACTGTGCTTTGAAAGACTCAGAAGATTCATTTCCATGCTCTTCCCCATAAACGGCTATGTAGGTCCTGGAGGAAAGGGACTTACATGGACAATTAGGATCTCTTTCATCTTGTATGTGATGTTTTTCGGCTTCCTGGCCTGCTGCAGGATC